CAAACAGTAATTAAAGAATAAAAAATAAATAAATACAAAAGTATTATAAGACAACCTTTACTAGCACTTGAAGGGAGTCCGGTAGTGAACTACTCACAACCCTCTTACTGATCGGAATCTGCATTCAAGTCATCTTAATCTGAAATTATTAATAAAATAGTGAGCTATACTAACTCAGTAAGAATATCACACTAATCACAAATACAGAAAACTAAAAATTAATAAATAAATAAAAATAAATAATGAAGTCCTTACTTTATTTAAATATATTTAAATTTGAAGACATTTGTTTGATACTCACCGTAATGAGTTTTCCAAAAACAATATATGAAAATTCATATCCATACCACTTTTCACTTTTACACATAAGAGGACAAGAGACAATATATTTCCTTTCTTACCTGCTTACTAGTACCATTGGTGTTCTATAGGGATGTCCTCCCTACTCATAAATCTAATATTCAATTTTACAATTAACAAGTCATCCCCATACCCTATTCGGTAATGGATGTCAAATATTTCATTGCTTCAATACCTCGTCCGATATGAGGGTGAACTATATCTATCAAACATTTTCAGTAAGGGACTTTTCAGCCCCGTCACGGTAGAGTTCCCTATGTACCTGGTCCGTCTTCCCTTTCTCTAAGTAACTAGTAAGTATTTCACGTATAAATTTTCGTCAACAAACAACTAATAAACGCATACTAATATCTCATATCATATTCATAGATCAATTAAATTATATTCATACTGATAGTATATAACTAAAATAACCAGATAAGTTAATAAAACCATTAAACTATAAATTAAAAACATGCACTATACGAAAATCAAGTAAGTAGAACAGTATAGAAAAATAAACAGGAAATCAAGACAATTGTAAACTAATTAGTTCCGGCTCCACTATTAACATGTAATTATTTTTAGAGTTTTTTAATTTTACATAAAAATATGAAATTATACATCGTTAAATCTTAATTTACCGTAACAAACAATAAGGTGAGAGATCCTTATCCGGATCGGTATTTTAAGACATCGAGTTGTCTATTACGTCTCCTAACGAGTACCGGGTTCCCTGAAATTTTATACAGAATTCAAAACACTCGTTACGTACCTAAAAATAACCCAAAAATCTAAAATCAGTGTCCAAAATCATTTCCGACCAATTTTGAGGTTTTGACACGGTGGCTGCACCGTGCTTCGATGCTGATTTTTGGCGCCTACGGCGGCGGTTCGCCTTGGCCTATCCGATTTTGTATGTATCTCTGCAGAAAAACATGTTATGAGAATTTGGTTGGCCAAAAAATTACAAAAATTGAACCTACCAGCAGGGAAGGACCTCCGAGTGCGGCGGCTCCGCTGGTCCTCATTCACGATTGAGATTTTTTTTTTTTTTTCCGGTTAACATGCACTGAAAAGGACGGTAAACACAATGATCAGAAAATCGCATGAAACGAGAAGCGGGAAGGGGTTCATCAGAAGTATTTTAGGGGTTTGGCCGCGATGGTTTAGTTGGATTTTACTCGCAGTTTTCGACTCACTTGCCATCATTCTTGCTTTGATTTGGCCATATGGGTGCTCAGAATTCGATTCCGAGCAGGTATGGAGAATTTTTAACTTTTTTTGCGACCGGTAGTGGCTTCGGTGCAGCGGCGGTAGGCCTCCTTCTCCGACGTCTGGTTCTTCTTCTCCGATAGGGGATGGCGGCTAGAGTTTGGGCTCCCGTGTGACACGAAGTATTTATACCAATCATGCGTTGATTTGGACTGTCTATCACGGTCAATCTCATCTGTTCGATCGCGTTTAAGGAAGAAACGAATTTGTACTGTTCATCGCGATTGATCTCGACTGTTCGATTGTGCCTAAGGGAGAAACAAATCCGGACTGTCCATGTGCGTGGGATCGATCTTGGGCTGTCCGATTGCAAGACACACAGATCGTTTGTGTAGCCTCGCACATGTCACCGTTATCAGCGTGTCTTGTTATGCGGTGTGCTCTAGTTCGTCAAACTGGTGACTGGGCAGTCTTGTGGCCGAACTTTCTCTTTTTACATTTTGACTCCTTATTTCCATTTTTTTAAAAAAATATTTTTCGAACTCAAATTTTCACATATTTTTCTTAAAATTATTTTCAATCTCAATCCCTAATTCATTTTATCTTAAAATTTTACTTAAATAAAAATAAAATAAAATAATTATTTATTTTAAGTTAATAATTAAATAAATAAAAAATTATTTCAGAAGTATTATATTAAATTTGAAGGCCCTTACATTTAGCTTGCTTGACTTCTCCCTAAACTCCATTTGCAGCATCTATATAAGGCCAGGACTTCTCCACAATCCGGGGTTGCACCAAGTTTTTTCATTATTACACTTGATTAAAAGCTTTTCTTCTTAAAAAACAAAAAGAAGTGAGAAATTATGTTCTGCAAATGGTATACATTAATTAATGGGAAGATAATGTGAGATCAGCAAGTAGCCGCTATATAAAGTAACTTCTCTTGTGGAAAACCTTAATTGACTAGAAACTAGATGATTTCCATATCAAGGAAAAAGAATCAACATGAGAAGATAAAACCCCTTTGACAGTCCAAAAAAGTTCTCCAAGATGATTAATCTCTTCCTAAATAATCCAACTTTCCTTTAAAGCAAAGACACTTCTTACCAACAAGAAAACAGCTTCACAACCAGCCCAATTGCCATGACTTTACCAACTGGCGCAAGCTAGAACTCACCAGCAAAATCATCACCCACAAATATTCTCTGAACCGGTTTGCCATTTCCATAATCAATCTTAAAAGCACAGCAGTAGCCCAAGAAAACATTAGCATTAATAAGGCTGCCCAAGTCAACTTTCAACCTTAATTGGTGCCAAGGGTCAGTATCTGCTAGCAATGTTTCTGGTATAATATCTAAAGAGTTAAGAAAAAAAAAAACAAGCAAAAGAGTGCTTCTTGTTCTGAGCACCATTAATACCCATGAGACTAGATATAACACCTGTAAATATCAAAGAGCATGTGCATAATACCGCTGAAAGATTTTCACACCCCACAAAAGATCCCCATGATTAAATAGTAAATGGAGCATTATTGGAAACCAGAGATCTTAAATCAATAATACCCAAGTTTAACAAGTAGTCTATTCTCAGTGCGCCAAAAACTCTTCCCTGAAACAGCAATTTCATTGAGAAGCTCCGTTGAAGACTACTAGAAAATCTAAAGCCATCACAATATCTAAAGGCTTTTGGCTATGTACCATAAGATCTTCTATTCCTCTTGTCGCTGATTCCATAAGATTAATATAACAATGCTCAAGAGATTAAAGTAATAAATCGATAATTCCACAGCATTCTCTCAATCTGTGCCTGGAAATCATAAAAAAAGCATGAAGATGGATACAATATTTTGAGCATGAAATTAATAATAGAATTAAAGATCTGGGCACCTAATCAGAACAACAATGAATTCAAATCATATTAGTTTCTGTTTAAACTTCTCAGCTGGAACAATAATAATCAGGCAAATACAGCAAGTAGCCTCCATACACTTTACAAACACACAATTACCAGAAGCAACAAACAATAATATAGCATCTCTAATAACAAAAGTTAGCATTACTTCAGCAATACCAAATCCATCACAGCAAAACCCAAACAAGCCCTAACCCCCGATTGCCTCTAAAATATAAAGAGGAAAGGAAAAGAAAACAATCGAACCTGACTTCCAAAGAAGCAAAACCAAAATAATAACAAAAGGACAAATGTTTAACCATCTCATTTGGCGACCATCCTGGCAATGAAATCCTCGTAGCGGATCTTGCCGTCTGGCCCGACATCCACCTCCCGGATCCATTCATCGAACTCCTTGGGCTCCAGCTTCTCGCCGATGCTGGTGAGGATGTGCCGCAGATCGGCGACGGCGACGAAGCCCGTGTTGTCCTTATCGAGGACCTTGAAGGCGTCTCGAAGCTGACGATCAAATGGTTCGGCTTTCATGTGCTTCGCCATTAGATCGAGGAACCGAGGAAAGTCAAACGGCGCCGTGAGCTTCTCATCGGCGACGATAGACTTGAGTTGGGCCTGGGTCGGGTTGCCCCCAAGTGACCGCATTAGGATCCCGAGCTCGGAAGGGGCGATCTTGCCATCATTGTCTGTGTCGAAGAGATTGAATGCCTCTCTCATGGAGGATACTTGATCATCGCTCAGATCCTTTCCCATCTTCTCCGGGTTCGTATTCGAATTCGGGTCTGATATCTGTCGATAAAACCTGCCTTCTCTGGTGGAAATGGGGTGGTTCGCTTTGCCGTGTCTTGGATTTTGATTTTTGAAGGGAGTTCACGTTGAAACGATGTCGTTAAGAGTTTGTGGCTTTTACAACGCAGCGGCTTTTTTTTTTGTGTGGATAATACGGCGTCGTTTGAGGTAGCAAAATTGACATTTGACGATCCATCATTCTGTCCGTGGACCGTGCTGATGTTGGGTCCTTGGAAAGTGGGATTTGAATCAGTGGATAGACTCACTGAGAAGAGAGGCCTGCCATGAGTTTCCTTTTTTATTTTCTTTAAATAAACTTAATTTTGATCAACAAATTTAAACTTTAAAAGCCCAAGTATAAAGCACTTAGTTAAATAAAATCATAAATACTAACTAATTACTCATATTAAAAAGATTGAGCATCTAGTTGAAAAAAATAAAATAAAATAAATATTTCAAATAAAAATTTGAGCATGTAAAATGGAGCAAAAAGAAAAGTTTAAGTATCTTTAAAAACATTGTAAAAAATAAAATAAAATGAAAAAAAAGCAATAACTGTTATTTTTTCATAACATTTTCAATTGAGCCAAAAATATGATAATATTTTCTTGTGAGTTTTATATTAAAATTAATTAGTAAAATTTAGTTTGAATAATTAAAAGGTTTAGGTTTTTAAAAATATAAAGTCTTAATTTGAGACAATAAAAGAAAGTACATGGTATTTTTGTATAATTTACTTATATATACATATATATATATTTATATAACATGAGGGCTTTTTATTTTACTTTCAAATGATTAGGTGTAATAGTATTATACATGTAAATTGTCGTTGACGGGCCCATATTCCATATCCCTTTTTATTTTTTTTAAAGTTCTCTATTTATTCTAATCACTAACAATCACTATTTTTTTCGTCTAAAATTTTTAAATTTTAATGCAATTATTAACACTAATTAATTAAGTACTCAGTTTTATTGAATAAAGTATTATAAATTAACTATATTATAAAATAAAAAATTCTTAATTTTCAGTAATATTGAAATTCTTAAGCATAATTTCTACTTTGGGTCTCCTTCCTTTGGACCGGGTCTGTCTTTGAAGCCCACAGAAGTTTAAGGAATCGAAAATAAGGCCCAAAGCTAACATCTTAAACGCGCCGTTTCACCTGGGAAAACTAGGGTTCTGCAACTGAAACCTCCTCTCTCGTTCCTATATAATCCCCAACCTTAAAATTAGGGTTCTTTCACCGGAAGTTTCCAAAGTAGTGTTGGCACGCACCCGCATCTCCATCGCCAGCCGCCATGGGTCGCATGCACAGTCGAGGGTTAGTCCCTCTCTCGTTCTATGGTTTTCTCGCCTCTCCAACCCTTCTGTTATAACTTGTTAATTTTCTGTTTTCGTTTTTTTTTTCAGCAAGGGTATTTCCGCCTCTGCATTGCCCTACAAGCGAACTCCACCCAGCTGGCTTAAGACATCTGCTCAAGATGTAATTATCTAAAACAATCGGACGACGCTTTTATCTCTCTTTTCGTTCACTATATTTTACATGCATTAAAATCCTTTGGGCTGATTTAGGTGGAAGACAGTATTTGCAAGTTTGCAAAGAAGGGCCTGACCCCATCACAGATCGGTGTCATCCTTCGTGATTCTCACGGTATCGCTCAGGTCAAGAGCGTAACCGGAAGCAAGATCCTCCGCATTCTCAAAGCTCAAGGTACATCTTAATCTGTATATATGCTACATGCATTTATGTCCGCTGTTTTAGAGGTTTAGTTTTTAATTTCGCTAGTAAATTTATTTAACTACATTGGTTATTGAATCACGGTTTTGTTTTTGGTGGCCGGTTATATTCAGGGCTTGCACCGGAGATTCCAGAGGATCTTTACCATTTGATTAAGAAGGCTGTAGCTATTAGGAAGCATTTGGAGAGGAACAGAAAGGACAAAGATTCCAAGTTCAGGTTGATTCTCGTAGAGAGCAGGATTCACCGTCTTGCTCGCTACTACAAGAAGGCTAAGAAGCTTCCTCCTGTCTGGAAATAGTGAGTTTACTTTTCCAATGTTAAGTTAATTTCTAAGAGTTAGATATTGAATGAATTGTCATTTGATGTGGGTTGATAATTAATAGTGGAAGTTCCAGATAATTGCAATTATTGTTTGTTGAATTTGTAAGCAACTATGATTTTGCATTTTTTTGCTTATATGTTTAGGCTTTTGGGAACTAGTTCTTGCTAGGGTACTATGACTATAATTTAGTAATGGAATTTGATGCTTTGATTGCTTTCTTATTAGACTTGAAAGTTTGCTGTGATGTCCTTGTAGAAGAAGCATTTACCAGATGAAATCTTTGTAGTTTTGTCCTGTCAACTGGATGGTGATCATGAGATAGCATCTTTTGCATTTTGTCCCCTGACTTCATAATGAAAAAAATGGAATGATAACCTTAGTTTAGCTATAACTAGGTGTAATCTTTCTAGTTTTGTGCTTTAGCCGAGTGGTAATTTAGGTGTTGATTGTAGTTATATGAATGTGTGTGCTAACGGTTTAGTGTGAATTGTTTCTGGTATTGAAGTCAGGGGATTCGTTTTCAACATTCAGAATAGCTTAATGTTCTTTTTTCCATTATTTTGTACCTCTAAAGGTTTATTTTTCCTCCAGATGTATATCTTTAGATTAGGAGTCGTGGCGAATACCTTTTTGATCTCACTAAAAATGAAACTGAGTCCTTTCCCCAGAGGAAGGAACGAAAATGAGTACATGCTTCTGTTGTTCATTTTTCTAGCATTGCTTTAGTATAGAAAAAGTTCGGTGCAACTCGAGCCAACATGGTTTCCAACCAAGTTGGAAGCAGGGAAGGGCTGAAAGACAGACATTATTCATAGGAGTCCAGAGCTCTTCTTTTACATACTTCATTGAAGCCAAAGTTAAAGTATGAATGCACCAAATTGAAGCCAAGAAAGGAACTTGTGGAGTAACATGACATGGTTGTTGACTAGTGAATCATTATAATGGAATGACGAGAAATAGAGAGTTCTGTATGTCATGTGGAATTTGGTCCACTTACTGTCGTATGTCTGTTGAGTGGTACAAGTTTGCTGGGTTCACGAGCATCTGATGTTGGTATTCCATTTATCAGCATAAAAAGAAAGAAAAGTTTGTCTATTGGTCTCTCTACTGATATGCTTTTATCTGGGTTTTTGTTGAATAATGATACTTGTGAATAAATCATCTAGATTTTCCTTGAAACGCATGAAAAATATACCCTATTTATGGATTAGGAGCGTCTCCTTGTTCATCTAATACTCTCTGCATGCTTGTTTGAATTTCTTACATGTCAGACACACTCTTGTTTGTTCTGTGCATCAGAGGTTGATGTACATTACTGTTGGTTTGGGATTGAGTTGAATTAGTTGTCTAACTAAATTGCTGGTTCCTCCCATGCAGCGAGTCAACAACAGCAAGCACTCTGGTCGCATAGTCAAATTCTCATTACTGGAAGTTTAGGATGCTGCATAATTGTTAGATAACCAAGCGGCTAGTTTTGTGGCATGTGAAGGCTGAGGGAAAAACGTTTTTGTTTCAAGTTACCTTTTTTTTCAATTATTTTTAGGATGCAATTTACTTCTGATTACCTACCTAGCTTTTCTTTAATGTCGCCAGTAACTTATGGGAATGATTTATACGTTACATTGCCATATGATGTTGTGTCCATGCTATGCGCAGTTTGAAATAATTTTTCTTCAGATTTTTTTTTCTTTGGGTGCCATAACCAAGCCACAGAAAAGTAGAAACTAAGAAACAAAAAATTGAGCTAATCAGTGGTGATTATGCTTTGTTCCTTCATGTTTCTCCGAAATTCTTCTCTTTCTTTCTCTCACGCTATGGTTCTTCCTGTTTCACGGAGGTTATGAATTCCCCTCTTTCTTGACCTGAGGAAAGGAATGATTGTTTTATAAATAGCCTTTGGCTTTTTGTTCATCAAATTTTTATCATAATGGGGAACGTAGGGAAAAAAGGTAAATTATTTATGTAAAATTCATGTTTGATAAAAATGTTAAAAGTGGTCTAATCACGTGCATAAAGTTTAGATTTAGGCTAGCCCTTGCATGTGTATGGTTACTGTTCTCTTGCCATTTAGTGGGTTCATCTCTAACAACGCAGTATACAAATGGTATCGGTGGTATGTTTAGCACCTCATCAATACATGATTTGAGTCATCAAATTTTTAGTGGTGTTATTTTTACACGGCAGGCATGAATTATTTTTTATCAAGGTGGAATAGAAATGAGTAATGGAAGGATCTATGTGAAAAAAGATGGAGACATTAATTTTAAAAATCCTTTGCATAATATCTTGGTATAATTCAATGTTGGGGGAAACTACGAGGAATCAAACATGATAATTACGTTCAAAAGTGGCAGACCTACTATTAGATGGGTTATGTTTTCAAGGTTATGACATATATCGATGGCTAAGTGCAGTCATAAATCTGAGCATAATACCATGAAGTAAGCCCTAAATGTTAATAGGACAATACGTATGTTTCGAAATGTGAAGTGTAATTTCAACCTTACCTTTTTAACTATAACACAAACTTCTATTAACTTTAACTAGCATAATTAAACGTTTTTCTTATTTTGTTTGGTTAAGTAAAATAAAATTATATATATATATATAATACCTATTTTGTGGCTTTTATTGTAGTTTAGCTTACAATATCTTAAAGTACCTATGTATAATATAATAGCGTAAAAGAATAATAAATAATATAAGTACGTAATAATTGTTCATCATATAAAATTTGTGAATTTTAAGTTTTTAATATATAAATTTTAACGTCAATTAAGATATTTGTTTGTCTCGTCAATAAAATTTATTAAAATCATAATTATTTAAATATTAAGATCTCGCATACGCACATGTAAAACTAATTTTTTTAAAAAAATTTACAAAGAATGTAAATGATTATAAATACGTTTTAATTAACTAAGATTTGTAATCAGGATTCTCATGAAGAAGAATGAGATATTATAGTAATTAGAGATATACAATAATCGGTTAAAATTAAAATTGAATAAATTAATTTGACTGAAGCAATTTATTAATCAATCAATTGGTTTATTTTGTTTTAATTGGTTTCGAATATGTCACCAATCAATTTTTGTTTGTTGGTTTTATATTTTGAATTTAAAAATTGAATGGAAAAAATTCAGACAATTTATTTTTTTTTAAAAAATTGAATATTAACGTGTATACATTTAGTTTTATATATATTTAATTTTTACTTTAAAATTAAACCGACAGAGTCTAATATATTTAATTTATTTTTTAAACATGGAAAAAAATGTAACTGACAGATCGCAGATCCTTAATAATGATTTTTCCACTATCATTTTTCATTTTTTTTTTAAAAAACTGGTAATTAAGTGGAAAAAATCACATGTTTCACAATTAAAATAATAATTAAACATTATTTCAATTTGTTATTTCTTACAGCCTCGGCAACATCGCATTTCGCATTTAACTTTCGGTGAGTGGTAAAAGAAAAAACTACTACCGTAAAAAATACCAACTTCTCCTGCTCAACCCAATCCCTAGAATTTTTTTGCTTCCTTCTTTTCATCTCCTAAGCCTCCCAACTGCAGGGCTGAATAAAATTTTATTTCCTTCTCTCTGTTATCAGAGCCGGAAGTATCCTCTCTTCACTGCTCATTTCCACACCCGATCTCACCTTCATCTGCTTCCCCAAGGAAAAGCCCTATAAATCCTTCTCCTCCTACCTATCGTCGTCTTCATTCTCTTGTTGTTCAACCGGTAGCCGCTTCACTCTCTCCCCAAACGAGAAAACCGGTATCAGCTCTTACTTTTCCTTCTTATTTCCTCCCTCGCTGCCAACGCCGCTCTCCGTATCACGACGATCTCCTCTTCGTCTCGAGCTTGTCGTCGCTCGCGTTGGATCTAGATTAGGAAGGCTGCTTCGGAGGTAAATACTCAGCTCTTCTTTTCCATGACTGCGAAACCTCTGATTTTGCAAACAAAGAATCACTTCTATTTTTGCCTGTTTCGTTTTTTTTTTTAATTCGTTTTATTATTTCAAATTAATAGATTTTGATAGAATTCGCATTCTAATCTGGTATGTTTTGGGCATATTGGTATCTAAAGCTGACGTGCGGTTGACATAGCGGTTCGGTCACTTCTGTTAACCACGTGTTATTTGGAAAATTAAGAAATGAGAATAAAGAGAATGGAGGTACAGCTTTTGGTTGTCGATAGAAAAGATTGTTGATCATCAATCTTAATCGGATGTGGAAGAATATACATCGGCAATGAAAGGCGTCTTCTCGGCGCCCGGAGATTACATCTACTTCAAGTCTCAGGTCCCTCTCCACAAGATCCCTGTGCGTTTATCTCTTTACCTCCTCTTTTTCTTTGTAAATTCTCTTTATTTATTTTTTATCATGTTTTGTCTGTCTTGGTTCTTTTTCTCTTCCTTAACTATTATATACTTGCAATTTTGCATTTTTTTTTGTTTATTGATGTTGGAGACAGCTCTTTTGCTTTCATAATGTTTTTCGGTGTTTGATATGTTTCGTTATTGGACTTCTGCAAATATTTGATCTGCTTTTGTGTTTTATATTTGACTGATTTTGGACTCTACTCCTTAACTTACTCTCGTTACTGTGTTTTTCTTAGTTTTAGTTAGCATTTCTTTCTATAACAAGAGTTATTTTGTTTTTAAAACTTCTCTAGCTACCTTATGTAGCTGGCTATCATTTGATCCAGTTTGAAATGCGAATACCGTAACGGGAGACTGCCCTTTGCTTTTGGTTATCTTAGGCTTCTGGCCAGGGGTCATCATGGATTTTGTGGGCTCAATTCTCATAGATCATCTTAATGGTGATTAGCTTGAAGTGATGGTGGAAATACTTTCTAGTTTTATTAATTATAGTATCAGATTCTTTATAGACATTCATATTTTCCCTTATCGTTAACTGATTATTTTTTTAACTTTGGACTTTGGAACTGGGTTCATCATGGGCTGCAGCAGCTGCATGTGAATTCTATTTTAGTTTGTCTTTTGAACTTGATTATTGATGTTGATATTATAGATTCTCTTTACCAAGAACTTTTGTCATATCATCTTTTATCTTTCAGTGCCGCCCTAGTCATTGGCAAAATACTCTGTCCAGTAATTGGATTTTTCAGTTCACTTAAATCTCTGCTATAGAATTGTTGAGGAAAGTACACTGCAATTTTTTTTGACAGTTTTAAAAATCAAAAAGCATTATTAGTATAACAGAAAAGGTGTTACCAAAGTTTCCAAAATTTGATGCATCATCAGATCATTAGTATAACAGAGAAGGTGTTATCAAAGTTTCCAAAATTTGTTTTGGTTTATTTCCATTGCTAAGTTGATGCCATTTCTTGAAGCACAAAATTGAACTTCTTTTTACAGAAAAAAAAAATATTATATGGGAAAAGGGGAATGCAAGAAAGGAAGAGTAGATATCCTCCAAAAAGAAAATAAAAAGAAATAGAAAAGGAGAGAAACCAACAAAATTCAATAAAGGATGGGCAAACAATCTCTACGTAAATAGACAAAGAATAATATTTGAAGTGTCCATTGGCCTTGGCTCAGAGAGATACCACAATAGATAACCTACCCCAAGGAAATCAGAAATGGAGAAAATTGATCTATAAAAATCTTGGCATTCCTCTCCAAACTAAATCATCCACAACATAGCAATGGGAGCCCCATCCAACAGATGCTTTCGTGCCAAGACCATGGAGCAGAGTGAAGAAACCCGTTAAAATGAGAAAGAGAAACCCAAGAAACTCCAAAATATTAAATAAACAGATCCAAGTTCTCGAGATTATGAGACTCAATAGCCTTGCGAAACATTGCACACACCCCTGGGACTAGGCATCATTCAACCAACAAGCTTGTAGCAAATAATTAGTGTTTAGCCTACGCAAAATTGGAGTTCAAAGAAAAAAAATACTTAACTTCCGGGGAGAGAGAACTTCCAAAACCAAATGGTAAAAACATCATTGTGCATAGAAGATTTATGAGTTGAGAAGACAAAGAAGGACTTATGGGTAAAAATGGTCAAGGATTCGAAAGACCAAACTCTACTATCAGGACTCAAATAAAATGACAACGCAATTGGGGTGCTGAATGAAAGAAATCATATCAACAGCTTTATGGAAATTGATTAGGACAAGCATAGCATTGATTTCTGGAAAAGAATATATTTCATGAGTAAGTCCAACTGAGTAATAAAAAAAGAGGAGACCAGATGGCTCTAGGACAAATTGTATAATAGGGTAATATTTTATTTGTGGTTTTCTAATTTAAATGAGTTTAAAGCTTTTATTAACTTATGATGAGTCCTCCATGGAACTTAGATGTTTTCCTTCTGTAACAGATTGGCACAAAGCAGTGGAGATACTATGATTTTGGTCCAAAAGTTGTTCCTCCACTCATTTGTCTCCCTGGAACAGCAGGGACAGCAGATGTCTACTACAAGCAGATAATGTCATTGTCCATGAAGGTATAAAGTGGGGTTTGCTTTGGTTTGTTTTATTGATGTATATATTGTGTACATAATACTTATTCTTTATGTTTCTCCTTTTTGGCTTTTAGAAGAAATCATTGGGAAGCTGACATTTTGGCATCAATGTTTTATGGTCGAATCTTTTCTGGGAAGCTGTAGTTGGTTACACATTTGATAAATATGATCTTCATAGTATGGGTTTGATAGGACACCTCTCTTTCTATCTTCATGAATAAAGGAGATTTTTTCTAGGTTATTAATCTGTCCATCTCTGTTCATGCATTTCTTTCCTAAATATTGCTTTGTCGATCATTTCTTTGACAATTCATAGGTACCTCAAGGTGTAGGTATGTTTCCGAAATTTCGGCACCCTATTTTGTGCACAATACAAGCAAAAACTGTGAGCCCAGTTGTTGTTTTGTATAGATATTTTCATATAGAATCAGAACTGGGTCCTAAGTCTTTAAACCCAACTCCAGCTTTAGCACCAAAAACTACAAAGAACAATGTTGCAATTTTTTGGGATTTGGATAACAAGCCTCCAAGTTCATTTTCTCCTTATGATGCTGCTGTTAAGCTCAAAAGAGCTTCATCTTCGTTTGGGGTTGTAAGGCACATGGTTGCCTATGCTAATCCTCAGACTTTTAGTTATGTGCCGCAAGTTGTTAGGGAGCAAAGAAAAGATAGAAGACTATTGAATCAATTGGAAAATAATGGTGTGATTAAGCCAGTTGAACCATACTTGTGTCGCATTTGTGGGAGGAGATTTTATACAAATGAGAAATTTATAAATCATTTTAAGCAAATTCATGAGCGAGAACACCAGAAGAGGATGAATCAAATAGAATCTGCAAGAGGGAAGCGGAGGGTGCAGTTGGTGGCCAAGTATTCAATGAAGATGGAGAAGTATAAGAATGTATCGAGGGACATTCTGACTCCCAAAGTTGGTTATTGTTTAGGGGATGAATTGAAAAGGGCAGGGTTCTGGATTAGAACCGTTTCTGCTAAGCCACAGGCGGCAGATGTTGCATTAAGGGATCACATGGCGGATGTGATGGACAAGAGGAGAGCAGACTGCTTGGTGCTTGTGTCTGATGATTCAGATTTTGTGGGTGTTCTAAAAGAGGCCAAGTTGAGGTGTGTGAAGACAGTTGTTGTGGGGGATGTCAATGATGGGGCTTTAAAAAGGATTGCAGATACTGCATTTTCTTGGAGAGAAATCCTGATGGGAAAGGCTCAGAAGGAGGCAGTTTCAGTTGTTGGGCGCTGGAAGGATCGTGATGTTTTGAAAAGGCTGGAGTGGAAATACAATCCAGAAGTGGAGAAAAAAGTGCATTGTTTAGATAATGAATTTGATGATGATAATGAGGATCAAAATCTTAGTGGTATTTTTAATGGGGCCAATGCTGATCATGGACAAACGGAGGATGTTGGTGCTTGGTGGGAGTTGGATTCTGATGCCTGATTTCACTTCTTCCAATGTTTGAGCTGAGCTGTAAAAGCAGAGTTATTATTCCTACTGGTGAGCAAAAATAGTTTTGACTTCCTGTTGTTTATTTGTGGAGTTGCAATAATCATAATTGAAGAAATCTTTCGTCTTTGTTGAAAGAACTTGCAATTGATCAACATTCTCTTATACATTTTTTATAGAGAAATGATTTGTGGCAATTGACAGAAACAATTAGTGAGTTTACTTGAGGTGGAGCGTTTGGCTATACTATCATATAAATCTATAATTGCATTTTCTAAAGACATGCACATGTAAAACTATTCTTTTCCCTTATAGGATCACGTCCATATTGTGAAGATCATATTTTATGTGTAATATTACTCTTTTCCCTATAGATTCAGGTCCATCCTGTGAAGATCATATTTGTCAAATATTGTTTTGCTTGTGTTACATGCCTTAGAATTCTTATAATTTGTGCATAAATAAATATTTCCTTTTTTATGTTAATATTATAAAGAAGGAAGTTTTTACCTGCTAGGCTAGCATTTTTCACACATCTTTTAACACGAACCAGCCTAAGCATAAAGTTACCGAATGAAACCAACTACGGCATGATAGGAACCCATTTGGCACAAAAATAATCAAAACAATATATTTAAGAATAAGCTGAGAAATTAACTATTTTGAATTAGATTAAGATATTCAAAGGTAATGTACAATTTTAGTTTTGCAGTTTGACCTTATTTCAATTTTAAACCTTGTAGTTTTTTAATGACAATTTATTTACTATGATATGGTTTTTTGTTATTTTATATAAAACTGATAGTTTAAAGGATAAGTGCACACATTTGTACTTCTAAACACGAGCATCTAAAAGTTCAAAATTAAAGGAATAAAAAATGGAAGAACAACAGAAAAACAATAAGATAATAGCTTATAAAATTAATTAGTTTATGTAAATGTCAAAAAACCAAACCACCAGTATGAATTTTCGCAAAAAGTAAAAAATTTGAAAATTCTAATAATCTACAAGAGAGTGAAATTGTAACTTGTGCAATAATTAAATATGACAGAATTTTACCCCTTTATAATCACTGACCCCTTTTGCTTCTCCATACACACTATATATAAAATAGTTTTTCTTGGTTTCTCCAGCTATTTGCATCAAGCAATAAACAGGTTTTTTAACAGTGAAATGAATTCCTGTTTCTACAAGTCGACTTATGCTGATTTCTGGTTAACTTTTTAGTTCATTTTCAACAAGGATACTGTATTTGTGGTGTTGATTGATTGTTTTTTGTCTAACAACTCCCAAAATGTATAAATTAATTGGAAATTTTTTTGAAGTTTTTTCTTTCTCAGCGAGCTTACTGTGTGTACCTCTCAGTGATTCTTTTTTTAAAAAATATACCTCTGAGTGACATGGTTTTAAGATTTTAGAAGCTTGCAAGAATATAGGTGTGGGAAAACCAGGATGCATGTTTTTAGTCTTAGCTGCCCCTGTTTTGCAAATTTTAATTTGTTGTTGGTCCTGATATAGACTACTTTTCTGTTGGTGCTTCTTTCTCTACTGCTGTCTCCACTCTCATTAGTGGAAGGCACTCCCACCCTTTAAGTTTTCACATTGCTTTCTTCTAGGTTCCATAATATAGTGCTTGGAAAATTTTCAGGGTTACCGGGTGATTTCTGTTGATATTCCGCGTGTTTGGAACCATCATGAGTGGATTCAAGCATTTGAAAAGTTCCTGGATGCTATTGATGTTCATCACGTAAGATCTCATTCATTTAATTATATGTTATCTTTCCCTATTGTGATTCTCCTAAGACTTTCTTTACTCTTGATCGTTTTTTCACATTGACTATTTAGTTTCATTGCATTTTTTGATAAACAAGTCGTTTACATTGAACTTTCAAATACTTCCATGTTGGTACTAAATTAACATACCTGTTAGACTGGAAAAAATCATATCTGTTACACTGGACAAAATTTTGATATTTCTTGTTACAATAGGTTCCAAAAAATGCTAAAAGGTCATGAATTTGAAAGTTTTTTGGTAGTTCAAAGACATGATTGTAATAACAAAATTAGGACTAAGTTGTAATAAGAGCTCTACTTATGGCATTAAAATAGTAATAGCCTTGTACTTTATTTTATTTCTCTAGACTATGTAGCTTTTCTGGTAGCTGATCACAGGATTTCACAGGCTGGGTTCAGGTATTCACCTGAGGACATAAGGAGAGAACGAAAACTACTCTCTGGGCATCTAATGATTTACTGGTGATTAATTATGATAACTTTAAATTGGGTCATTATGTATGCTTGAAGTTCACTGAGAGCAGACATAGAGCCAAAACTTTCAGGAGTTTATGGTGTTTGTATTGGCTTCTTTTGGTTGCTTTAAGTCAAACGTGACTTGCTTGTGAAGAACTTTAAGCTCATGGTGCTTTAAGCTTGAAGAATGTTTTGATACTTTTTTCAATGTCTTACAAACTTATAAGAGCTATAAGTGCTTAGAAGATGAGGAGCTTTGAACTGAAATCTTGTAAAAGGTTAAAAAAGGGCAATTAGTTAAACCCTTTCTATTGGAAAAAAAGGTTTATCTTTCAGTTAAAAATTAGCTAAGTATATTTTATGTCAAAAATACTCAAAAATAATTTCAAATAAATTTTACCAGCATAAAAGCGGAAATTATTTATCACTAAAATTTTATTGTTTTGAGATACTGAAAATTTTTGTATGACATCACGTTTGTTATAAAAAATGGTTAATGTTATTAAATGAGAGGTAGTGCTAGGGTTGTAATTTATTATTTTGATAAGGGTCATAGAAATTGAAAATAATGGTCAAATGGGCTAAAATAACTTTGCTTAAAGCTTTTCAGAAAGTGTTGGTCTTAGGAACTTTTTTTCTTGGGCTAAAAGCTCCTGAGGATTTAGCAATTTTTATGGTTATCCAAACGCTATATGACTTTCCTTTGGCCGAAATGGGCGTAAGCATTTTCGATCATCAAAAAGCCAATACATTATAATTCTATGATAGCATCAGCCTTGCATTCATGCTGTTGATGGTTCTTTTTATTATTATTTTTTTTGGGGGGGGGGGGGGGGGAAGGTTTAATACTCTATGGCCTATGTGACTTCCCTATTATCCGCTTACAGTTTAATTTATATCACATCTATGTCAAAGAATTCAGGAACTCTTGATTAAATGCTGCAGCCATTTTTATTAGATACAATCAGCTTCAGGTAGTTTCTTGTTCCTGATATGGATCTGTAAGACTTCTTATACTCATGTTGGTCTAGGAAAATCATTATATTTGTTTTGCAAGTCTATATTCTTTGAAAAATAATTTATTTTTCAATTTGTCCTCAAATATTCAATATTAAAATTAAGGATGAAGTTTCTGTCTGGAGCTGGCTATAAAAGGAAAAGATGGTGTAAACATTTCTTTCTGGGATGCAATCTAACATTTAAGCACGAATGCCTTATTGTAGATAGATCTCTAAGTCATGCAATAATGTGTTGGCATAGATATATGATCTTCTAAATTCAGATGTTTAAGCTGGCTTTCTTTTCTACCAATGAAATGTTCAACCTGGCTTTTGCAGCTGTTGCTTTTTGTTAAAAAGTGTTTCATCCTCTGAACTGATTAAGATACTTCTAACAGATACATCTTTATGGTACATCCCTTGGAGGATTCCTTGCACAGCTCTTTGCTCTGCGTCGACCAAGACGGGTCAGATCATTGGTTTTATCTAATACATATTTGGACACACGCACTTTTGCTGCTGCCATGCCATGGGCTCCCGTGTATGCTGTCATCTTTCTTGCTAATGCTCATTAATGACGTACTGTGAATGGCCAATTGTTGCAATTTTCAGATCTTGCTTTTGCCTATGATTGTATTTTCTCTTTGTCTAAAAGGAGTATGATTCTTTCTGAAACCAGTTCGAAAGCCTTTAATTGTAGTTAATTCTAGATATGGATATTAAAGGTCATTGTGAGTTTTGAGAGGAAATGTTTCAGCTGCTACACCTGTTTGAATATAATCTCTCATTTGCAGCTATTAGCATTTGCCAGTTTCAAGAATTTCTTTTGTGTTTTTGCTCTATAAATTCATAACATCCTCAAGAAACTAACTTGTTCCCACTGGAATGTGTTACACAGTGTTAGTTGGACGCCCTCTTTTTTGCTGAAACGATATGTCTTCACTGGAATTCGTGATGGCCCACATGAACCTTTTATTGCTGATTCTGTTGACTTTGTTGTTTCTCAGGTAAATTCCTAAAACTAATGTATCAAACATTATACTAATTTATTATGCTGCATTGCAATTTTCTGGATAATAATAGAACGAATTATATAATTTTTATTTCAAAAAATAATGATAATAATAATACAATGAATTACATCGCTAAGTGACAACAGTTTTAGGCAACAACTGATATTAGGGCCATATAAGTGACTCACACTGTGATTTATTTAAAATTTAAACATCCATTAACATGGTTGAAAATTTTGGTAATTTCTGAAAGCTAACCAAATTATTGAGTCATTATATATTTATTTGACCTGGTTCTGAGGTCAGTTTGATTGATGGGGTTCATTGACCTTCCTTTTTTATTTTGACATTCCCATATGTTTTCCGGCTTACTGCTATCTATTATTCTTTATGGAAAAAGCAAGGAAAACAAGCACATTTCTTTTTCATGGACCATTACGTTTCTTATATCCCAGTCATTCTCTGATTGTTGTTATTTGGAATATGAAGCTATGGCTTCAGTTGATCTTTTTGTTCAATTATCACTTCAGGTTGAAACACTTTCGAGAGAAGATTTAGCCTCCAGGCTGAGTTTGACAGTTGATGCGGCTTCTGTTGGACCTCTTCTACTTTCAGATTCATTTATCACTATAATGGATGTAAGTTTTTCTGATACTTATTGACGTGTGATTAAGAATTTATCCACAATGAAAAGTTTTTGTTAATGAAGGGGAGGTAAAAAGACTAACATGAGGTTTTTTCTGTAGTTTTCTGTCACGTAGTCTTGCTGGAAGTCTCTAGTGTAAAAATGAATGGTAGACAGGTCTTATGATTCCCACCCCTCTGCTCACACCTTTCTTTTTACTGTTTGTAACATTTAGAATTGGTTTTTCAGCAAGTTTTTCATTAGGCATGCCAACAATTTGCTTTAATCTCTGGAAAATGAAAAATAACATCTGAGGTTAATGTTTCCGTTTCTCTTAGAATGGGAAAGTTAGTATTTGTGGAAAATGCAAATTTGTTCTATTGGAAGTTAACCATGATTAAGATTTGTATGAAGCTGCATTCTATTTATTTATTGGTGTTTCTGTTTCGTGAATACTGACAAAATTGGTAGATTTAATTCCCCATTTATTACCTGATAGGACAGTTAACTGCTTCAGTTAATTGCGTTGGATCTACAAATTCTTAGATTGACTTTCACATCTGTTCTTCCAAAAATCTTGCAAAAATTTTGTTGATTCAAGTATTTACTCCATGCACATGATGCCATGGACTTAAACGTTTTCTTTTACAAAAATGTAACAGTGGAATTTGAATACCTTAATAACCGAGTAAATTACAAGATATACACAGTTTTTTGGTTTTTCAAGATGTTATGAAACTATTAGCATTAATAGAACATGATTTCATATGTCTGCTTGATTCAGAATGTTTCGTAGCATTTGCTTTATTTGATGGTTGATCCTTTAAATAATTTACATCAATCAGATGTTCCTGTTCTCCCAGCTAATCTACTGTAGGTGGCCAATTTATCTTTTAGCTTTGGTAATGAATATGTGAAGTTTTGCTTATGCCTCTACTAATTTTCTTGACATGGTTGCGTACTCTTCCTACTCAGACAAATGACTACTGTGCAATTCCTCAACAGCTCAAAGATCAACTTAGTGAGAGGTATCCTGGGGCGAGGCGGGCTTACTTGAAAACTGGAGGAGATTTTCCATTTCTTTCACGTCCGGATGAAGTCAACTTGCATCTTCAGGTAAATAGGATGGGATATTTCACTGAAATAGATGGGAATTCATGGCTGTAGCCCTAGTTTTAATTTTTTGGTTTTAAAGAAGATTTCCTTCAATGTGGCAGCTACACCTGAGACGTGTTGGTGTAGAAGCCCGTCCAGACTTAGTACGTGGAATCTCCAAGGATGGTGGTGGTGGAAGTCCTAGTGAAAAGAGTGATGAAAAAGGGGATCGAAACGATCCCGGCAAGGATATTGGGGAAAGTTCTGAAAGTCCATCAGCAGGTCAGTTATCTCCAGCTCCAGAAAGTTCAGGATCTAATAGTTTAGGCGACCAGTTCCTTAGCAACACACAGTATTGCCTCGTTGATCCCAGAGATAAAATCCTTCCATTTCTTGGTTCTCTGTTTAACAATCACCATGTGGTAGCTACGGGTATCATCTTGCAATTTGTATGGGAGGTTTTGGTCTCTTACTTGCTTCCTTTTTATGCGGAGTCCTTGTACATTACACTTTAAACAGTTGGAAATCCAGACAATTGGTGTAAAAATGAAACAGTCGTGCCAAGTTTGTTTGTGTAAGCTTTATACGGGCAGTTGCTGCAGTTGGAGTCTATCCACATGTTGACATGCTTTCTGTAATTTCTTTAGATTGATGATGTACCGTTCGTTTACAGATTCAACTTGATTGCGAGTCCCAAGGTTTGTAATTTGAGCCTATGATCAATTTCTGCACTGTAAGCCACGTTTCAACCAGGCATAAATTAGGAATAATCTAAAGCATGGGGTTCTCTGGATGAATTTGGAGTTCTTTCTCTGGTTTCTCTCTATTCCTCTCTTTTCTCTCTGAATACATGCCGTCTCTCCCTTGCTGCCCTTTGAATCTTGTTAGGCTGTATTAGGAACAAATTGGAAATTTGTACAAAATTTCTTTGGTAATTGACGTATCTAAACTAGGTGATTACGAAAGTCATACAAAAAATTTACATTGAGATTTAAGATATTTATAACAATGTAGCTTAAATTTTTGTAAAATTTAAAATATATTATTTTAATTATATAAATTCGAAAGAATTCATTTATTTTGTAGTTAAAATAGATACTAATAAAAATCTTAAACAATTCGAGCTTAGCATGGACAGAACTACACTTTTTTTAAGTATTTGGGGGCCTTGTAATTGTCTGTGGTTTCCTTCGGATTCTTTAAGCTACGTAGAAGGTTAGGAAGCAGGATAACGTTATGATTCCTCGGTCATTTGGCCTCCCAGGCTGTAAATGAGAACAAAATTAAAAGAAAAATTCAACATTACCCGTTCTGAATCTCAGTAGTGCCTCCCAAGAATCATAACATTACCCAATAAGGAAAATTCTCAAGTCTTTTAGATTCTAATTTTAATTACTTTAGTTTTAATGATCCAGATTTTTCTCTACCGAGATTTATGGAGGCAACATGCCTGTGAGACATGGTATCACACTCCCCCTGAAATCAATCTTCTGGGCAGGTACTTTTCTTCCAATCTTCTATTCACTGTTCCTCAGGCTAGAAAGCTAAAGATCTCCGTAACAAAGGTTTTCCCTGATAAAATAACAAAAAATTATAATAAAGCTCCAGGAAAGAGCACCAGCAACCACTTATTTAGCATTAGCATCGTCAGGGGCAGGAGGAAATAGGAATCCATATATAGCTGCATCTAACATACAAGTAAACCCAATTTTCATCTAGTTAAGTATCACAAACAAAAACCAAAGAGAACTAGGAAATCCCCAGAAAGATAAACAGCATTGGAAGTAAGCAAAATGTGTAGGCAACGAATAACTTGGAAGATTTGTCCACGAGAGGGAGAAATTAGGAGCGTAAGAAAAACAACCAAAAGTTGTATGTAAAGCATTAGCACGACAAAATCAAGTTCAGCTTAGTTTAAGAAGCCATGAATCTGATTCATCCAACTAAAATAAGAACATTTGCAGTAAATGCTAACTTATTTTGTCTGGGATGTTATTGAAAAAGGAGAAGTATCCAGCAAATCAGAATGTCTGTAATCTATCAGCCATAGACTGTACAACGCTCAAACTACGAAAAGAAAAACTACGGAGATGTGGAAAAACAATGAAGATGCTCCTAGCTCCTGTTGATATAAACTGGTTATGGTATGCCCTGCAAATAAGTAGCCATAACAGGCAAGCCAAAGCACGGCAGAACAAAGTTGTTCATCTTCCAAGAAAATTATCAAGCCATTGATGAAGCCAAAGAGAAAATATAGGGAAGGGGGATATAAATAAAAGGACCAAATTAGTCTACCCCCGGAACAAGCCGCAGAAAAATTCACCATGAAACCTTCTTATTTGACCCCGAATAAAAACCCAAGGTACCATCTCACGAACTTCTTCAGCCCCATCTCTAAATCAGTCGTGGGCTTATAGCCCAAGCTCTCTCTGCGCCAAACTAATATTTGCATGCGTAAACTCCACATCCCCATTTCTTGGCAACGGCAATACCTTCTTCTTAGCCTTCACCTTCAAAAGCTTCTCCAATATGCTCACAAGCCTACTTACGGGAACCGGTGATGTATTCCCCAAATTGAAAATCCTTAATTGAGTGGGTCCCCTCTTCTTCCCTCCACTCCCTGTACTCTTCTTTGCCGTGTCCAAAGCACCCAAACAACCATTCACGACATCATCAATGTAGGTAAAATCTCTAGCCACACTCCCCTTATCAGGTGACTCAAAAATGTTGATCGTTTTCCCCTTGAGAATATCTCTTGTGAAGAAGAAATACGCCATATCAGGCCGCCCCCACGGTCCATAAACGGTGAAAAACCGCAACCCAGTGATAGATAATCCGTAGATATGATTGTAAGTATGAGCAATCTCCTCGCCCGCCTTCTTCGTAGCGGCATACAGGCTAGCGGGTTGGTCAGTTCGATCCTTCTCCGAAAAGGGCACCTTAGAATTGAGTCCGTAAACGGAACTGGAAGAGGCCCACACGATTGCCGGTTGTGGATTCGCTGATTTGCAGACTTCAAGCAAATTAACAAACCCGGCAATGTTGCTGTGAACATAAGAACCCGGATTCTGCATCGCGTAACGGACGCCAGCCTGCGCAGCGAGGTGCATTACGTGTGTGAACAATACTACATCGAAAAGCTTCCGTAGCAGAGCCTGATCGTTAATATCCCCTTCCACCACAAAAACGCCGGCCTTTTCAAGGACGGTCTGACGAGCCCTCTTCAGATTTGGGTCGTAGTAGTGATTGAAATTATCGAGCCCTAGAACCCCATCGCCTCGACGCTTAAGAGCAATAGAGACGTGGGTACCCACGAAGCCGGCGGCTCCAGTGACGAGGACGGTGAGGCCAGAGCGAGAGCGGGGACGGGCAGATTTCCGCACCTGCTTTTCCCAATGAGAACCGCCCCACGAGGAGGCCGGGAAAGAAGAAGAGGAGTCATTAGTGAGATGGCGGCGAGAGGGGGAAGAGGGAGGAGGGGATAAGAGGATGAAGATGAGGAGAAGAGCCAAGAACAGAAAGGACCAGATAGTGAGTTTAGAGACAGAGGATAAATGCGGACGGAAGAAGCGGTGGTTAATTAAAGATACTGGTTTCTCCGTTTTGTACTTGCCAGGCGTAGAGGGTAGACTATCAAGGTGTGACATTGTGGTTCTGCCAAAAAAAAAATAATGACGGAAATCAAGAAGCCTCTGTTCCTTTTTAAGTTTATGGATCGATTACGTTCAATTGTGGGTTAGGGTTAGGGTTTTAGGCAGAATAGGGGTAAGTTCAGGGTAGAGAGAAAGAGTGAAGAAAAGAGAAACGTAAGAGGGGTTTATAAGGTTTGAGTAGGGACAGAGAACCAGAGTGTTGCGATTTTGGTGTTGTATTATGGAGAAGACGAAAATACCATAACAAGTTAAATAAAGAAGAGAGAGAGGTATAAGGTGTGGACTCTGAACTGGGTTTTGACCTATCCTGTGAACCTGTTAACCTTTTGATCTTGGATTGATTTCTTCATCTTGATCCTCTCCTTTGGTTTTTTTGTTGGTGATTTTTTCAATCTCAGCTGCAGATGAGTAATATACTTCTTCAAGTATTTAAATGTTTTTAAACATGGGAAGAGAGATTCATTGTTTGGTTGGTCTATCAATCCATTAAAATTGAGTTAAATACAAAAGATATTAAATTATATTGAAGTGGAAACAAATAAACGAATATTTTTTTTTGATTGAACAATTTTGTTTTAGTTCAAGATTACCTTAAATTGATCATTGGTTCGATAGACTTTCTTTTTTAGATTACCATTTATATTCTATTCTTATTAAATTAGTTTTTTAAGATATAAAAATTATATGATAACTTGGTTGGTATAAATAATAAAATCCTGATTAAAAATATGTAAATGGGGGGGTTGGGGGGGGGGGAATTAGAAGGTGAGATGCAAATCAAAACTTGGAAAGAAGGCCAAATTGATGGGAGGAAAAAAGGTATCTTGTTTTCTAATTTAAGTAACCAAAACAACATCATCAAGGGTCAAACATACACTCACCTTCTCCACACCATGCCACCATTTTCTTTCTACATTTCATTTACTCAATTCTCATTCTCCTTAATTAAAAACAACTCTCTTAATATTCATGTTATTACATTTTCTATTTTAAATTATATAAAATTTATATCCGGGGCCACCTAGGTGAGGTAATGGAAAATGCAACTATAATGCTTGATTGAGGATAAATTATCCGTGTATAAATTTATTCCGTAAATAAATAGTGATATAATGCAAAAGATTTAGTTATATTTTTAGTTCATATTAATAGTTAATAACAATGATAATAAAAACAACGATAATAGAAATATGTAATTCCGACACTAAATCCAAAATGACCTTATCATATATTTGGATTTGGAAGATAGTTTTTTTTTTCTTCTTTTTTTCTCTTTTCTAGCAAAAACAAAAAATAAAATAGATTAGAAAAATTAATCTTTTAAGTAAATTTTATCAAATTATTAATACAAAATTTAGATTTCATACTATTTAATACCCATTACATAGAATTAATTTTCTAATTTAATTAAAAAAAAAACATTTCATTAATTAGTTTGTTCATTAAATAAAAATAAAAATAATTATATTATGAGGTTTATCCTTCCTGTGAGACTCGTTCTCTCTTGTGTGTTCCTCTTCTCCCTTTGGATATTATTGTTTACCTTCTGCTGTCAAGTTTATGCTATTTCGCCTTCTTTTTCTGATCTTTTCTCTCTCTACTTCTTAGCTCACGAACAGGGTCTTTACACCGATTCGAATGTTGCAGCAACAAAGAAAATTAACATGCAGCAAGTTCAATTAACAATTCATGAAAATCAACATGCATAAGAAATTTTAAAGCAAGGGATGGGCCAAAATGTAGATAATCGCATGGAGCTACTGCAAATTAATGCAAAACCCCATTATTGAGGAACCATTGTTGTTATTAAAAAAAAAAAAAAAACATCTACATCTGGGAGCTCTCCATGATTAGTAAGGTCTCAACTCATAAAATTATTTATGTTAAAACAATTCAACAAGTCCTTGGTGAAATTTAGAAAGCAACTAAAGGAGTTTCCTTTATGCCTTTAGGCCAAAACTCATTCATTTGTTCCTTCGAACTAGAAACAAATATAAGAAGGGTAAGTAGTAGAGAGGCTTGGAACGCTAGAGGTGTCATTATTATTCTTTAAGATTAACCACCTGTAATATCCCGAACTCTAATATCGGTGGGTACGAACGTTAACACAATATTTTCAACTAGTGACACAAATAAATATTAAATATGCAGCGGAACTATACTTTAATACATATTTTTTGTGACTAGATAATTATTTATTTACACATAATTGAAACATCTGAATTAATTTATAAATATAAAATATAAACTAATAAGGTTTTCTTAGTCATTTTCCTTTGATCTTTAACTTCCTCTGACTTGGATGGAGGTAAATTAGGGTGAGTTTTACGAACTTAGTAAGAAAAAAAAAAGACTCTATAACGGAAACTTACGTACATATATTCGCGCAATATATAAAATATAATAATATTATAATAAAAAAATATCAAATAAAATATCACAATCAAAATACACAACAAAATAAATCATCACACAAAACATATTCTAATCCTCACTCTATAACCTAATTATTGTTCTTATTTTAAATCACACTTACACTTGAAATATCACAATACACTCAGAATATCACATCTAAGATTTCATCACGCGAAACCGTTTATATCATCATCGAGGAGAGGCAAAATAGATTCTCCAATTACATGGATAACACACACACAAAATCTTACATTGGCCACAACAGTTACGTTTACTAGGTGATCCACTCACGAACACCTGCCTATGTCTGGAATTGGTTTCAAACTCTATTCATGTGTAGGTTTACCATAACTGCTGAACTTCAGCCACACACACATACTCCCCTCCTTGATTTAGACTAAACGAGTAAGTATGCAGGGTCTTTGCACTTTATAATCTTTTCAAATTTCTCTCGTTTTTAATTTATTTATTTCATTCATAAGATCTTATTTTTTATGCATAATTAAATACAAACACACACACACACACACATAATACACGATATCATCACACACATAAAAGTCATATATTTCAAATCACTTTTTGAATCATCCTGTATTATATCACACAGTAAGCACAAGATACTCAGATTTCTCACGCAATTGTATTAGATCATACAGCAAGTACAATGCTTCGTATATCTGCACTGG